CTCTTTTGTGAGGTTGCTGGCAGGAACATATTTATATGAAAGTTAGAATTTTCAGGACAACATATTTCACCAGCATTTATTTAAAAGTAAAGTTATTTCCATGGATGGACACTAGGGCTGGCCACCGCACTGTCTGAATAAACTCGCTCAGTCCATTCATCAGACCTCGCCGTGGCCTACAGTTGCAGCTTCAGCTCTGCCATCTCTCTGTGATGGACGGTGTCTTCCTGCTCCCTGGGTAGCATCCAGGACATAACCATCATTCAGTAAATGTTTCCCAAAAGAGTGGCTATAATGTCCTCCAGGGGATGCCCTGTGTTAATCCCCAGTAAGTGATTCTCCATATCATTAGTTAAGTGAAAGATGATGGTAATCAGTAAATGAAATAACACAGAGCAGGGTACTGGAGATGTCCCACTTGGCATGTTGGGCAGAGTTGTTCTGTCACGTGACACATACAGCATGAATAACCTGAATACTACCAATGGGTCCCTGATCATACACGAAACACACCCATTTCTGTTCTCCACTCTGTCTTGTAACGAGAGGCAGGATCAGGCACCAAGACATTGCATGTGCTGAAGCAAGTCCTGCATTGTATGACAGCTGTTATTAGACACGAGTTCAAGCAGGCAACATCCAATTCAGGCTGGCTTCCAGAGACCGGCCTGCCTGTCTTCCATTCCTCTTTGGTTCATGCATCCGGCAAGTCAGACAGCTTCCATCAGGCTGGAGGCACTGTTGGAGCAAACAGCCCTGGATGTGCTGGCAGCTGCTTCTGGAACTTGCTGCCAATTGATTACTGAATTTTAATTCCTTAAGCAGGGTCTTGTTATTGTAGCCCAGGCTGGACTTAAACTCACGATCCCCCTGCCTCAGCCTCCCTATGCTGGAATTACAGGTGTGGACAACCACTACACATGGTACGAATGCTTAACTCCACGCTCTTTAGTAAACATCACACGTGTAAGTTGATAAAGAATTCCTGAACCACATTATGAACCAAATTGCTCCAAACAGAAGAGATGTTTAAACCACCTTTGTTGTGACTAAATTGTTGCCATGGAAACAAATAAGAGTTATAGAAATTGTCTCTCATGAGGCCAAAGAGAAAACATAAGTTGTTAAACAAATACATGTTCCTGAGGAGGTGAAGCAACTGGGAACACAGGCAATGTGCTGCTCATCGCAGGAATACACACAGAGGGGTGGTAAAAAGTCCAAGAGACGGAACCTAAGACAAAAGAACAGAGCTTCAGTCACCAGGAAGCTCCCGCTGGTACTGATGAAGACAGCGGGCATTTCCGGTGAGGACAGTGGCTTCAGATGTCCTCACGCTGTTACTACGCTTTCTCCAAATACTTGCCATGGAGATTGGGGATAGTGGCGCTATTTGTTCATTTTCCTTGGAAGATACTGTTTCCCCTCAACACACAGACAGCCGATGTTGACTACAGCCGCCCCAGGGAGACCTAATTTCACACCACACGTCTCATTCATATAATCATGCTGCCTTGTGAACTGACACCCTAGGAACCCCCTGCTTTGGTGGCCTGCCTAAACACTAGCGCTGGTTACAAACATTACTCAGTAGCTGCTGCCCTGAACCCACCTGTGAGGCTCCTGCTATTCCTGGTACTATGGCAACACTGGCTGGGGAGCAGATTCAGTGGCATGCAGAGATGGCTGCTGCACCCTGAAATCACGATGCTGCTGTGTACTAAGATCTGTGCCGCTGTCTTAGCCTCATGGTTCGATGCATGAGCTCTGCGGTGCTGCTGTGGTGTTTAACGGTAGCTGTCACTCGGGGGCCCGACCCAGGTCTTGCCTCACCATGAAGAAGAAGCTGAGACCCCCTAGGACTACGGAAGGCCACCTCTGCTGATGGTGACAGCTGTCTGACCTCCAGGAAGCAGAGGAAGGGTTTTAAGATTTCAAGCACAGCCACACAGATATTGACTGTAGAGAAGAATTAAGAGCATTCTGCACCCAGGGAAGAAAAGAAAACCCCAGAGTCTTCTGTGGCAAAAGGCTTAGTGTACTCAACAATGAGAGAAAGTAAATGCCAATAGGCTCAATCATGACAAATGTTCAGAGTAAAACAAATGAGAACCCAGGAAAGCCCGGGGGGCACAACTCATAGGGGTCACTTCACCCTCACAGTGTCACTCAGAGCAGCAGTGTCACTCAGGTCCCGTGTGGCTGAACTACCCAAAACTGTATCAGAGGGTGACTGCGGACTAGGTCTCTCCCCCACTAACACAGTCACGTTTGTGTCAGCATCTCTCAATGGCTGACCCCATCCTTTTCGTGGTGCACTTTATACTTTTCTTCACTACTCAGCAGGCCCTTTGCCTTTATACTGTAAATCTAGTTTCTCCTACTTTATTTCTACCAAATGTATTATTCTTAGCTGGGGTGTGGTGGTGCACACCTGTGATTTTAGCACTCAGGAGGCTGAGGCAGGAGGATCACCATGAGTTTGAGGCCAGCTTGGACTACAGAGTTAGTTCAAGGCCAGCCTGAACTACAGAGTGAGATCTGTCTCCAAAAAAACAAAAATTGTTTGAGATCTTATAAAAGAAGTAATATCTTTCATGACCTTTCACATAGGGTACCTAACCTTCCCAATGTTTCCATTTCAAGCTAAGTAATGGTCACTTCCTCTGTTTTTCTTTACTAATGTAATAAACCCTCCGTCTTCTAGGATTTTAATAAAAACCATTTTCAGAGCCATGTCTTCCCATTTTACCAAAGTATGCATATTCTTCAGGTACAAAGCAGAGAAAAGCAGATGAAGTTAAACCTGTAGCAATGTGAAACATAGTTTTTAATCATAAATTGCTCCTCCTCAAATGTTTATAAACAAGAGAAAGGGAAGCAGTGTACCACATATGAGCATGTCACATAAGAAGACATGTGGGAGTCCTGAGCTCTGAGAGCTATGCAAGTGATCCTTACACACTGTGGCAGGCGGGATGGAGGTGGAGGGTCCCCTGGACTTACTGTGGGTCTGCTCTGGGGATTGGTGGGGTGCCCTTCTGGGCATGCCTGGGAGGGTCATAGGTCTATGTGTCTGGTCTTGGGATCTCTGTAAGTTTCCTTACTCCTTCCTCCTTGGCACCATTCCCTCACTCTGCTTCCCAGCCACAGTGAACTGAGCAGCTGTGCTTTCCCGAGCCCTTCCACCATGACACTTCTGCCTTGGAACCAGCGGACCATGGACTGAATCCCTCAAGCACATGAGCCTAATTAACACCTCTTCCTCTGGGGCACCATAGTCAGGACCTGTGTCCTAGTGATGGGAAAGCTGAGTAATAATGGACAGATGCGCTCAAGTGAAGATGAAGTCATAACACTCAGGCTGAGTCCTGACTCATGTCTGGTATCTTTAGAAAAATAGAAGGAGAGGGAGGTTGGCCGTGGAGACACAGAAAAAGGTCATGTGATGATGGAGGCCAAGATTGGGGTGACAAATGAGCAAAGGGACATGAAGGCAGGCCACAGAAGGGCTCCTCCTGAGCCTGGAGAGACCACAGCCCCGCCCCATCTGTATTTTAGTACACGCAATTCACCTTTGTCTTGGGCATGGGTGCACACACATAACACATGTTACTTTTGTAATCCCTTTGCACTTGGCCCTTCCTTCTTCCTCTTCAAATCCCCTTGCCTCACTTTTATCCCTGTTGAGATTATTAATCTCATTTCATGTTTACGACATATTATATTTAATTCACTGGGTGTGCCAGGTTCCCGTCCACAGCTTCTCCCCATTCTATGTATTTCCTTTTCCCCTGGGTCTCCTGGACCCCTGCCCACTTGCAAGAGAGCTGCTCCCTCATCTCCTATGCATCATTTTTTGCACTGTTTGCATTTTGCCTTCCTGGTACGAGAGTGACTACACAGTAAGTAAGCATGTGTGCCTGATTTATCTCATCAAGCATCCACTTTCCTATTTGTATTGAATTTGTCACCCTTCATGGCTGAGCAGTATTCCATTAGGTACATGTACATTTTCTTTATTCCGTTGTCTGTTGGTGGGCACATAGGTGCTGCTAGGGCTCAGTGGTCTTGATGTCAGACTATCAACTTCTAGGTGCAGAGGGCAAAGAGTTCACTTTTGCTCAGTCACTGCCCAGGTGGGAACATGTAACAGCAGATTCAGAGAGCAAACACACACAGCAAGGCTCAGAGAGGAAAGAGGGTACTCTGGGTGGTGAACTTTGTGCAAATCCAGGGCTTGTTCTGTGGCCTGGGACTGGCTGCCCAATGCATCCAAGCAAACTCTGCTACTGTGCAAAGTCTTGAGCATTTATCTGAAATAATGTTTGTGAAAAGCCAAGCAAACAATAGGAAATTATCAAGCAACTAGATGACTTTTATTAATAAAGGGAATAAAACTCCTAAATCATTCTTATAATTCTGTATTTAGTATAAAAATTTTTCACAATTTCTTAAAACCATTTTAAGAGATAAACTACTCAAGAAAAATGATCTCGATGCAAACACAAAGTTGTGTGAACATCAACATCAGCCTCCGAGCTGTAACAGGAAACAGAGCAACCTCCAATGCGTTTAGTACTCAGTTTTCATTTTCATGCGAACAAATGTGGGCACTTGTTTACTATGGGAAACTGACAAAGGAAGATTCAATAAAAAGCCAAGACATGGCTGATGATGGTTTTTGACTAATAATTTAGGAAAGGAGAATGAGCCAGAAAATGGAAGCATCAAGCCCTTGGTTACACAGACTCGTACCAGTGTAAACGATTGCCAAGAGAAAGTGAGTGGAATGGTGCCCATCACGGCATCTACACAGCTGTGCAGGACTGTGTGACCACCACTTTCCCCTAATTTTCTTGGTTCCAGGAGAACCAGCAGTGATACACACACAAACGAAGTTTCCCAAATGAGGTTTTGTCCACTGGGAAACGTGGCTAGTCAGAGCCCCTCACGCACATCACATCTGCAGGTGGCAGAGGCCCCACGGATTCACTCACCAGCACCAGCAGCAGCACAATATCAGGGTTGTCGCATGCACAGGCGATGTGCATTGGTGTCCAGAAGTCTTCATCCTGGTGGTTGACATTGACCCCTCTGTCAATCAGGATCTCGGCAATGAAGGCATTATCATAGCGAGCACACTGGAAGAAGGAAAGAATGGAAAAATAAATTAAAATGGACCATGAAATCTCTGAATTTCCATAACAAACTATGAAATTTCCACAGACAGAAACCTTTGGTGCCACCTTTGGAAGACGAGAGGTGAAATTAAACTGAAAGAAAAATCCACATTTTCCAAGGAACCTAAAGGAGAAGGGACCAGACCCTGTGCTGACAGGAAACCAGGCCAGTGCACAGAGGGGCTTACAGGAAAAAGTAAGGGCGGTATCAGGGATTTACTGCCGAAGTTCCTTCCACCGCTAGACAGAAAATCTCCAAACATTTACAGTGATTCCTAGAAAATCTCTGGTCACTTATAATTAATTATTTTCCAAAACACAGACCTGATCACATTATGTTTCTGCTTCACAACATGGACAGTTTGCCATTACCAAAAAGAAGGAAACTTAACCATTTTCTGGACTCCAAGCAGAGAAGCTTCTGGGGAGTCACTCAGACCTCATCTCTTCCCATCCTCCCGAGAGGCACACGTTCACGAGACTTCAGGTCACCTCCCAGCAGGCCACGTTACAAAAGCTACGCTGGAATTAAACTACCATTTAGCATAAGTCTAAGGATCTTGTGATATTGTAATTCATAGATTTTCCACAATCCACTTGATCTAACCATGCAGGCCTTCCTTTGTTTACTTCAAACGTCAGATAAATACTGTGTGTCCAGGTCAGGACTGGCTTCCAGGGTATACAACCCAGAGAGCAGTGTTTAAAATCCTCCTGCACTGTGATAATGTTCTCCTGCTGCCATCTTCAAATTTTAATGGGTACTATGTGGTCCCCAGGGAACTACTCCCCAGATGAGAGTAGAGATTCGATCCCGAGCAAGTGCCGCTCTATTCCTGCCTCACAGATATCTAAGTCCTGAAAATATCAGATCCATTGCAAGCAACAACCCCAAACAGGGCTCAAGAATATTACACAGATGTGAACATCTTCAATGCTCAATAAGTCAAATTCTCACCTGTCTAAAATCTAACAAAAATGACTGTAAATGCAGAAAGCAGTAAAACAGTACCCACATTACGAAGAAAACACGTCCCATGAGAGGCACCCCAGAGGTGGAGCAGCTGTTAGAACTACAAATTAGGGCATCACAATCAGTATTATAACTATACTCCATATGGTCACAAAGCTGGGGAATTATTAACAGTGCTAAGGAGATATATGAGACATAGTAAAAAGACCTAATAGTCTGGAGATGAGGGATGAAATTATGCTCTTGGATGTGGCCAGAACACCCTAGATATTACAGAGATGAGATTTGTGGAGTGGAAGGTGTAATATAAATTACACAAAACAACGAAGACAGAAAACATACAGTTTAGTGCTTAAATTAGTAAAGATGGAAAAAGGGGTTTATCCAGTATGTAGACATAAAATATATGCACAGGGAGAGATGGAAACACAATACCATCAATAATGTCTTACCCTGCATTCAAAGGGGCAGAATACCGTGAAGCCTAGAGGGGTTCAGTCAAAGGGGCCTCCTAAAACACAAGGCAAGCACTCAGATAACAAGTGCACCACAGAACCCTATCGAAGAGAGAAGTCACAAATAAAACCCAGAGAAGGCACAAAAGAGGACGGGGAACAAACGCGAGGGGTAAACAAAATGCAAGTGATGGATTTCAATCTAACCAGAGAGGAATCAGATGTGCTAGCAGCAAACTTCCGGTAACTACATTTTTAATTAAAATGGCATCAAAACCTGGAATATTTAAGACTGTATGGGGTGAAAAAAAAAAACATATAATGAGTGTTTACATTCCTTAAAATTATAAGCAAATACACATTGCCAATAACTGCCCCCCCAAGTCCTCCCCTCACCTCAAATACCCTTATCCCATTCACCCACTGTCCTGTCTTTTCTTCCAGCAGTTCTGGAGTCCACTTTCTTGAGTGTCTTTATCAGGTGTGATTAAAAGACACAGTGGCAACCAACGGAAGGGCAAACAGGGCTCTGCGTCCTCAGACACTTCAGTTGCTGGATCTGGCACCAGGGGACTTCTTCTCCCTCAGAGTCAAAACCAACATGAAAGGGAAACATTGCAAATCAACTCAGGACACCAAGGCAGCCAGGACAGAGCGACTGAAGACACTCAAGAAAGTCACTTCCAGAATTGCTTCTGAAAGCAGCAAGGACAAGGCAATGAGCGCTTGGAAGCAGAGGGAGATTTTGAGTAGGCTGCATAGCAACATGTCTTCCACTGTAAAAAGTGTCTTTCTAAGCATTCATGGTACATTTCGATCACACCTCACCCCTGCAAAAACACACAAAGACCTGCATGTTGAAATCTACAGATCATGAGTGGGACAATGTGTGGGTTCTGTTAGTGTGTGTACAACACCGAACAGCGAGGCGCCAAGGGGAAGCCACGCATGCATAAATGTATCTGGATCATTTCTGGAAAAGAGGATAGGTCAACAGTAATGATTGTCAGCAGCCTTGAGAACCAACCCAGTTCTGATTTCCATCTTGTGTGCAGCTAAGAATCTATGTTAGTTGGTTACAGAACCAGGTGTCACCTCTGAATCCGTACTTTCATTCAAGGGTGTGTGGGGAACCAGTGAATGGGAGCAGGGAGCAGAGGCAGGGGAGTTCAGAGAGCACTGACCAGCAGGAGACACCAGGAGGAGAACCAGCGGAAACAGCATTTGTGGGATTACAGGTGGTCCTGCATCTTTGGAGGGTCTGCCAAGTTCCTGGCGCTGTGGAAGGGCTGACCACCTAGTGGGTGAGCTGCTGGCTGACATGGGAGAACCTTCCAGGTGCAGAGGTCCAGCTCTCCTAGACTACACCCTGCACCATTCTTTCCAAACTTGCCTGCTCCACATTTCCAGGCAAGAGGACAGAATTCTGCAAGAAGTCTATGCAAAGTGCCTTGCTTATCTACCTTCACCTTGTTAAAAGAGAGTTCTGGTTTGAAGCAAATAGGGTTTCCTTGTTGCAGATACAAAAATAAAATAAAATCAAAGCAAAACAAGCCAAAGAAACCCATCTGGCTGGGAACTCCACAAGGACCTTTGAAATCACTCGTCGTTGGATGAATCGGTTCCTGTTAGCATCTTTGCTCAAAGATGCTCAGCCCCTTCACTTTTCGGTAGCACCCAGAGCATTCGGTCTGCTCTTGTTTTGTTCCCAAGTCACCCAGTCAGGTGCTCACGATAAAGATGGAGCCCCACTGCAGTTCTCATCTGCCTTTCATTGGGAGACATCATGATCTGGACTGTATGGCTATGGATGCTGTGGTTCTCACAGACCAAGGGACTGTAAAACACAAACCCCAAAGTATGGACCCTACAGTCACAGCCTTGGGAAATGTGTGGAGTGCCCTTGTCACCGTGCACACCATTCTCTTCCTGGTTGAGCATTCTGCTGGCACCACCTGCTACCACCTGCCTGTCTCAGTGACAGCACCACTCTCAGTGCTGTGCTCCTTCCCTGTCCTGCTGCTTCACACTGGCCTTCCACATTCTAGCCCCCCGGAGCCACCTGGAAGCCCATGGGAGCCACCCTTGGAGGGGCCCCGTCCTCTGCTGTGAATGGTCTCCTTGCTGGAGCTCACCTTTGCAGTTTTGGCCTCTTTTTTTCTAGAACAGCAAAGCAAAGCACACTTGACGTTCTCAGTTTTGAAGGTGCTAAAGCACTAGGCTGGCTGCTGCTGCCTCTGCTTCTCCCATCCCCTCTAACTGCATGGAAATTCAGTGAAGCCTGAGAGCAGCTCACCGAGTCTTATAAAAATGACAAAGACTCTGAAGCCCTTACAGTCTCAATGTGTAATTAAGACACAGTCCTAGTTATTTTTGTATGTTTGTTTTATTACGTGAAACACACATGCTTGCCATTTGAAGTGTCCAAGCAACACATAAAAGGAAACACCACAAATTTAGATGTCGTTTTCTTTTCCCAACTTGAGCGTCTTTCAGAAATTCTTGCCTTTAAGCTATTTTCCTTGCTTAGTATTTCCCATGTGCCTGTCTGTCTGTCTTTATCATCTATCTCATTGCATGATGTGTACTTTTCTTTCTTCGGTTTTCTTGGTCATGTACCAACATGTCATGGGCATTTTAATATCTACTGTAGCTCAATATCTTAAGCAGCTACAAGAATTCTACTGCTAAAATGCCTATCCTCACGTTAGAACTAAAACTCACACAGTAAAAGAAAACAGTCCCTACTTGTAAAGCACTTCACTTTAGCTTGTCTGTGGCTTGAACTTGTCTCTGTGTGGAGCTACAGGGCTCTGCATGCTGGCAGCCATCCACTGCCCCTGGGAGCTCCTTAATGATTACACACTGGCTGAGTGCAGTACCGCAAAACCCTGGACCTCTCAGAAAAGCCTACGCAATAAAGACCACGTCTCACCAATGCTAAGATCTGAGGTTTCCTCTTCACTGTCCCTGAGATTCGGCTCCACAGGTGCACAGTGTTACTGTACACCATCTTCCCCTCTGGTCTATTACACAGAACTTGATACCTGTCACATGATTTGATGTAGACTTACTTAACAAGTAGTAAGTAAATAAACTCAGTCCAATGTTTTTGAAGAAAACGCATTTGAAAGGAGATTAAAATGTCACATGACCCAAAATGCTAAGACCTGTTTCCGCAAATATCAATTTTTAAATCTTGCATGAATTTAAATTCCCAGCATTAAAAAAAAAAGTTTTTGGAAAGAAAACATTTCCCTTGCACTTCTAGGAAAAACAATCTTACAGAAACCTGCACTGAGAACATGGCACCCCATGAATAATAACTGAGCTAAACAAACAGCTCTAGGAGATCTTAACATTTTCAGCAGCCTTTTCTGCAACCCCACGCACACATATGCTGCCTTCCACTGATGACACCAACTGAGGGGGAGAACGTGTAATTAGGGCTTGGTGTGATGTGGCACCGGCCCCCGACATAGTCCCCACAAGGTGGGCTGCACTGCACGGCCACTCCTGGCAACATCCAAGACTGCTAAATTGCCCTCCTCAGCACCCAAGGCATTTGCAAACCCTGCAATTGGGTCTCTTTAGCAACCTGCAATTTTCCACTTGTTTCTATTTACTCAGTTACCCCAGGGAAAGGAGACAGAAGCACCGAGCTCACACTCCTCCTCCAGCGACCTCCCTAGGTCTCACTGTCTCCCTTCAGCTCCCACAGAGCATCTCCTATCAATATTCCCTGTCACTTTGTCCTGCTGACTGTGTCACATCATGCCTTGTGGTCCAGAGTCCCAAAGCTTTCTCTAGGCGCCTGCTTCTCTTTTATGCAATTTTTCCCCTGGTGGCTATAAATGAGAAACCTCAAAACTCCCACTGCCAACCTTCACCCCAGGAAAGCGAAGTCAGGATCTTGGAGGTGGAGGCGGGCGGGCAGGCTGGGAGTCAAGTGTCAGCATTGTGACAGCCCTCACCCGCCACGATTCCAGGCTGCAGCAAAGCTGAACGCACGAAGCAACTCCCACTTGCATGCATCGCTCAGTCACAGCTCGTCACAGTGAGAAGAAATACAGCAGCGCGTTTTATCTCGGTAGAACATGTTAAACTTGAGTTTTTCTAATTCTATTTTGTTATTTTCCAAAATTAACTTAATACATGTGCCAGGTTCCTAACCAAGTCAAGTCCAGTAATTCCTAACTTCTTTCATTTAATGTGTCACTAACCCTGCAAGTGTCATACACATAGGCCTCCTAAAAATAACTTCTTTATTTATGCACTTGCATTTTCAGTTTACTTAATCCATGCTTGCTTCACTGCCAAAAGAACAGGAAGTCATTTTTAGTCACACTTCCATGAAGCAGTAAAGAGTAAGGGGAGCAAGGCAGTGCCTGACCCCTGCGGGGAAGGGATGCCAGGCTATCAAACTTATCCCTGATTGCTGTTCAACTTCAAAAGCATTTGCTTGCAAAGCGGCTCCGAGGCCATTTGTTAGAGATTATTTCCAAACTCTGCTGCAGAGTGGACCATAAGGGTGGCTCACTGTCTCTGCCTGCTGATTAGAATCACCGTCATCTGTGGCAGGTATGCTCTGTGACTGAGTTTTGAGCCCTTCATTTATACCCCTTCCCCAGGTGACACCACTGGTCCCCATCAATCACCACAGTGCTTACCAGGTGGAGTAAGGACCCTCCAGAGGACACCAGAGCGTGCGGATCAGCGCCCTCCTGCAGGAGCCGGAGCACTGAAAAACCAGAGGCAGAGAGAGAAAATAATGCACTTGGAGCAGGTCTTTCCACACTCAAACCACTGCATTAATTCTTAAAACACTAACAACTGGGGCTAGAGATTTAGCTCAGCGGCATAAGCGCCTGCCTTGCAAGCAGGCAGTCGTGAGTTCGATCCCCAGGACTGATTAAAAAAAAAAAAAAAAAAAAAAAAACACCAACAACCATGGGAGGCTGAGTAAAAGGATTCATCACCTTCCAATCCAAGTCCATGCATCTACAAGGCATAGCATTTTCCTTCAGGTTCAAACATATTCCTTGGTTTACAATATAATTACCTGGTACATCCGTGCACATGAATGAGGAAATAGAACATAGCTTTACAGTTTTCATTTTGAAATGTCAAGCTGATACATCTTGTGCAGACCAAACATAAATAAATGAATAAGGACAAATGACTGGACCCAGCTTCTGTGGGCATTAGGTTGCTGAACTTCTGTTTTTCAAATTCATTAGGCCCTCATTGGCTTAAAACAATAAAGTTGACATTTTGTGCATTAAACTTCCATTTGTGTCATCAGCCCTTGGAAAGGATTTGACCATTCTCGCAAAGCATGGTGGGGCAAATGCACACATTTCCAAACAGGAATGTCACATAGATCAACAGGATCAGCTCTCCACTGAAAGGTGTCCTGGGTTTTCATGTGAACAGCTAAGGGGAAATCATTAGCACAGAGACTGCCACTTGCATTAAGAGCGGGGCTGGGTAACCACATTTTCTGCCCTGAAGAAAGGTCCCTCAGGGTCCCAAGGCATTCCGCAGGCTTCCGTTGTTAATGGCACAACTGTGGCCTCCATAAAGTGCTGCTTATGCGTTTTCCAAAAAGCATAATGACAGTAACATTACCCTTGTACTTCATTACAATAAACCACACACAACGCTCAGACTCAAATCAACCCACACTGAAGCACATTGTATGTCCATTACATCTCCCGAAGGCCTGAAATGTTCTCTGAAGGCAACTTTTCTATTCTTCCCAATTCTTTCAACCTTCTAGGGACTGGTTTCTCACCATCTTTCCTGATTCTGAACAAATGTTCATGAAGGCAGTGGATCCTCGCTGGCATGGCTGCACCCAGCTCCCCTCCAGCACAGCAAGTCTCTTCAATGCTCTGCGGACCAATGCTCTGAGGTCACCTGCCTGCCAAGCAGCTGCCACCCAGCCCAGACCAGAGCGCTCTCCCTGGAGTCTTTCCCAAATCATAGCGTACTTCATCCAGTCTTTCCCACAATGTATCCTACTCACTGACCCAGAGAAAGCTTGTCCTGGCCTCTCTGATCACACAGCCTGTTGCCCAGTCCCCACCTAGAAAGAAGCTCTTGAACCCCGGGGCCCATTCCTGCTCTTCACCAAGTGGCTTTCTCCCACCATGCTCTTTCTTCAGCTGCAGATTTGTTCTCATGACCAGGACTTAATGTGTGTGTAGAAAACTTCTGAAAGAGGTCAATGACACCCTTGCAGGATGGACTGTCATCTCCCATCCCACGGTGTAGTCACAAGATCATGGGGTTACCTCCCCGCTCATTATGGGGACAGACAAGGAGATCCCGGGCCTTACCTCCCTTGTGTTTCATTGATTTTATTTTTAAAATATTTTTAATTAGTATGTGTTTGTGATACATAATGAATATATTCATCCACGTATGCTGGTATATGCAGATGCATCTTGGTCGTCTTTAACTTCCGCTTTCCCTCCCCAGACACGCCCTGCACCTGCACAAGATCTGAGGGTGCTCCTGCTGCTGCGGAGTGAGGAGATGCCCTTGCATGCCTACTCTCTGCCTCACTCCGCATACACCCAAGCTGGGACTACACCTCCTCTTCCTTCATGTGCTGGGCTCGGGAAGATTGAAATTCCCATCTAAGGCAGCAGGGTGCTCAGTGCATGTTTGTCAATGGTTTCCAAAGATGGGAATTCTCCTGCAGGGTTTCTTTCAGCAAACAAACTTAACTATCTTGAACTAACATCTCTATGGTGCTCTGCAGTGGACCAGGGTGCTCTCAGGACAGATCTGGTGCGAGAGAGAGACTGCCTTGCATTAGAATATTAATGAGATGCTACTGGACATTGATGAGGAGTCCACAGTGGATGCAGGCAGTGACTTACACATGATGGGGACCAGGGATCCTTAGGTTTTGGTTTGCGTTAGACAGATGCTTGTGAGCCCCAGAAAAGGCATGCACTCAATGCGTCAGCTTTCAATCACACGGTGACAACTGAGGAACACACAGGCCATGCTGTGGAATGTTGTTTATCACGCTTGGTTGAGATTACAACACCAGTTCTATTAGAAAGATTAAGTGATAAAAACCCTTAGTAACATACTGAATTCACATTTGAAGATTTGTTTGAGATTTTCTCAAACCCTTGTGAGTATTAAATGTTGAGTTTAAATGTAAAATATAAGCAGTGAGAATCTAGCAATATTAACAAGAAGGCTGAGAGTGCAGTTCACCAAAGAGGAGCATGACAGAAAGGGTTAGGGTCAGGGAAGGAACCTCTGAGCTTGAGGGAAGTGAATGTTATCACCTTTGTTTTCAGTATAGTCCACTGCATTGTAAGTCTGTATCACTTAATTTTTCATTTAAGCATGGTTTAACTGCTTTACAGGTCATTTATAACATTCTTGAGATTTTAACCACTGGCTCTTAGAGCCAGGCAGGACGGCCCAGGCCACCACAGGATGCTGCCCGTGGTGCCTGAGGGACATGGTCTAGGAATCTGAGGAATGAGCAGCCACTACAGGAAGGACCAGGACCTCCTTCCTACCACAGGTACAGGGCACAGCCACACCTTCCCCATCCAGCCTGGCATAACCTGGGGCACGGGTGAGTGAGACTGGAACATTCTGTCTTCCCCCTAGGAGGACTCTTCACACAAGCACAGACATCACATGGTTTCCTTGTCATGGGAAGCCCAATGTGTAAATAAAGAGCAAAACAAAAGACAGAGAATAAGACACAGGAAGGCAGATCTTTTGCAAGTGGAAAGAGGACCAGGAAATAGAGCGAGAATGGAAGAAAGGGAAGGGAAAGTTTAAAAAATTAAGATGTTATGTACATGCACTAACTCACCAAAAGGCATGGAAACATGTACTACTAATAAAAATTTTTAAAAACAAGCAAAAAGCTAAAAAAAAGGGGGGGGGGCTTTTTCCAAAGAAGCTGACTTACACACTCATACTTAACTATTTACAACCACAGACCCAAAGCCGGCTATTTTGCTTTCTTTTCCATGACTGAAGACTCAAGAATTAGACAACATCAACTATCAGTAAAATAAAGAATGTGGACTAAATCTATGACTCTGCTAAGGATCAAGCACAGAACATTGTAAAGTCCCTGGCTGTTAAAAAGAAAGCGCCACTTACTTAAGAATTAGCTTAGAACTTAAACTTCTGAACGTTGAGGGGTACAACAAACAGCAGAAACACACATCAGACACCATTTTAAGGAAGTAGGAGTCTAATGATCTGCTAAACATTTTGCAAACCTGACTTCACTTCTCTTTCCACCTCCCATTTTCCATTTCCTCTTACTGAAAAGACACATAAATGTGTCACAGTCCCGGGACCACAGGTGCCCGTCCTGCCTCCAGCTCCAGGGACAGTGGCCTCAAACCAGCACCAGTACAGAGGCAGAGGAAAGTCAGCAGGAATCAAGAGCCACTTTCATGGCCTCAAAATTATTGATTCTGTGAGAAACTGCTCGAATGTAGATGAAGATATTTTCTCTATGAGGGTCCAGGCTCATAGCAACCATGCAGTAACAGAATGCGAGCCTCCAGTACAGTGAGCCAGCCCCACCACTCTGGGTCTGCTATGGGAAAGGAAGAAGAGGCCCAGGAGAAGCAGCCATCAGGGCAGCACAAAGACCACCAGGGCTCCGCGGAACTGTCCAACATTTACACCTCTGCACAGCTTCATCACCAAGCTGCAGTGGAACTCTAGCAGGGTGCTGCGAAGGCCTGTGATTGCTGGAAAGAGAAGCAGCCTCTAAGATCTTCATCTGCTGGGGTAAAACATGACATCAAACACACTCTGCTGAGGGCCATCCCCAACAGTGTAGTTGGACCCCCTAACAGTGCCCAATCCGCACCATCAGATCAGCGAGCAGCACTGGCTGCAGATATCCAGGCACTGCCCAGGCCCCTGTGCTGATGACAGTCAGCCCTTGAATTCTCTGGAGACTGAGTCAGAGGATGGGCACCTCTGATGGCTCAGGAATTTACTCCACACCCACCGACTCTCTCTTCGGGACGTGGCCCTTAGGTTCTCAAGGTACCATCTAAAATCAAGAGGCAAAGAAGAACACAGCAAACAAATTGTGGGTTCTAACTTCTGTACCAGTTCTAAGTCCCACCAGAGAGATTTTCTAGAAAGAAGGAAGGGCAAACCAACATGGGAAATGGCAGGGATGGGTCAACCTGGTCGGAGTCCATGTGACTTCATATTATCTGGAAAACTTCTCCATAATCCAATCCAGTGTAATTGTTTCTCTGATATGATAATGGAAACACCAAAGCAGAGACGTCTCAGCTGAGAAATTTTATACCACTGATAGTACTCTAAGAAACCTACAAATTTTACCTTGTTTCTTGAATATATCAGTAAACCAGGACGCAGAAAGCAGGAACACCGAAATCACGTTATGGTGCCACCACAGGCCTATTTTTGAGACAATGATTCTGAAATGCAGGTTTCCTGGCTAAGTAGAGCTCACGTTGAAGGACACCACAGAATGTCAGGAGGACTTTGAGGATACCCCTTCGTAGTCTGGGGTTTTTCAATCTCTTCTTTATTCTCAACACCCCACTCTCAGCAATTGTGATCCCTCAGACATCTCTGTCACTGCTTGGAGACCAAGTCAACAACCCTGTGTCCTACCTAAGAATTTCTACCCACCCTTAGGAATCGCACCCTCGCTGTTCCTGCTGGTTTGCAGTGGAAACTAAC